TAAATTTGGAAAGTTGGAGGACTAAAATGATAAATATATTAAATTCAATTTTAATTGGGTCAAATATTTAAATATTGATAGAGTAATGATAAATATATTTATATTGTGCTCGTTGGATAGCTTGTAATTAATCATGTATATTGTGCTCACGAAAAAGTTAATTTGGATAGGTGAGATTTAAGATGTAGCTGTTTGTAGAAGTTATCATTGACTAGAAATTTATTTAGGTTTGTTTATAAATTTATTAGAGGTATGCACACGTGTAGTGTGCTATAAATAAATACAAACTTATCTTCCATTTTGAATAGAAGTCTTATTTTAATCAACGTACAAGAATCTTATTATTTATTTGACATCTCATGCATACTCTGAATAGGAGACTTTATTTATCCAAATTCTTATCCAATATCTTAGTGGTACGGCTCCAACTACTAAATCCTAACAAACTCTAGTAGACTAGGTCATAAGGGTATAGATATATATAGGTATCAATTTGGAGAATAATGCCACAAAAAATTTTATACATACATGAGAGGGAGGTTGCGAGAAATCAAGCAGCCAATTACATACAATTAATATTACTATCCAGCATACTTGCACATCCACTTATTCAACGCATTGATTTGAGAAAAGATTTGGAACTCGAAATTAAGATTTTCAAAGGTTTAAGGTAGGATATTGAGGTGCAAAGTATTCTATCTTGTTTAATTATTTTTTTCATATTGATGAATTATTGTACTCATGAAAGCTAAAGATATGATATGATATAATATGATATGGCCATTCCGGTACAAATGATATGATATAATATGAGCTCTTACCGATTTCTAAAGTTATGAGATTGTATGATTTTCTGATACATGTTTTAAAATTTTTGCTCGGGATTACACCATTAACTTTTATGTCCTACTGAGTATTCCTATGTACTCACCCTTTTCCTACTCCTCATAGATTAGAACGGGTCGTGTCTGAGCGTGGCGATTCGATTGAGTGGTTGTGCCTCGTTTCGCTGGGCGAAAATCTAAAGAAATTAGCACGTAACTTTATTTCTTTTAATTTGGTTGCCATGACATTTATTTTTAATTGAATTATTGTATAAGTTTATTTATTACATGGATATTTTTAAATTGTGGTTTTATTTAAATGTTTGAATTAAATTGTTGGATTTCCCTTAAGTGTTATCTTATTTAAATGTTTGAATTAAATTGTTGGATTTCCCTTAAGTGTTATCTTACATTAGTGGTAACAAAAATTTATTTAGTGATAATTATTATTCATTCAAAAAAAAGTTTAATTTAAACTTTTGGTAACGACTTATAAATGCTAGGGTCGTTACAATAGAAGCAAAATCGACATTTCACTTAGGTTTGGGTCTTTTGTGGTTTTTGGTTTCTGTAGAAGGGTTCGATGTTTTGAGCTCCAAAACCGTTGAAATTGAGATGCCTTTGGTTGTAATTTGAGTTGTATTTCTGAGAAATCTAATTTTAAGTTGTATTATTTTTTGATTTCTCGTTATAATAGATACAATAGTCTTCATTTGGAAGAAAATAACGAATCTGAACACAAAGATTTAAAGGTAACTCATGCATGGTAACTAAGAATTAGAATGTTGTTTGATTACTAGCAGTTACAGAGGGATAAAATCAAGCTGTCAATGGCTAATTAAATTAAAGCAATCACTGACTCATTATTAGAATTCAAAACATGCTGTAGGATAAATGAGAGAAAAGAGAGAACAAATGAGAGAAGCCAATAAACTTGTGCGTTTTATTAAGAACCAAAATTCCATATTTAAAGGGAAGAATTAGGACATCAAAGGATACCCGGTCATAATAACTAGGGCTATAGGGGTATAAAACACATTTATAAATATTAATATATTTACGACAACCACTTAAACCTAAAATTGAAAATATAATACCCTTTCTTCATCTATTTGTTATAGTGTTTTTGTGCACGTTTACATTATATATGTAGTGTATTTATCAATATATTTTTATATATATGGATGGCCTAAACTTCAATATCTATTTAGTAGAAGAAGCATAATAAATATCTTGCCATGAAAAAGTATTGTTAACATTTGAGTGAACTTATTCTGATGACAATTGTTTTCTTCTTGAAATTTTGAATTTGCATAAAAACAAAGATTCTGCTTTCGTTGATGGATATTTTGATGCCGACTCGGGTGACAAGAACAACAGGGAGAAAGAAGAAAGTAGGAAGAAAAGAGAATGAGGGAAGATAATAGATTTATTCAACACTCAAAACTGTCTATTACAATCCAAGAACCTTAATTTATAGGTTCCAAATAACAATAGAAAAGTAAAGTTGCAATAAAAAGGAAAATATAGAGTTTCCTTTTGTTTAAAAGGAAACAAATTTATTACTCTATCAAAACAAGAAAAGCAATAATAAAAATCCAATCTTTAATTGATTTCAATTCCGATTACACCAAGAATATACTTTCCAATTGGCATCATTCCTCCCCAGTTGAAAAGAACTCGACTCCGGCGAGGTATAATCCATATAGGCATCTAAAAGTGTAGCATCCAGGTGACGAAACTCAGCTTCATCAATCCAAGTAGCATCACTAGGTGGGCGACCTTTCCAACGCACTAGAAATCGACAAAAATCACCATTCTGTGAAGCAACAAACTGATCAGCAAGTACCTCATCAATGACATCCTGTAGAGAGAAGGTGGTAACAAGAGCTTGAGGAGGCGGTCGCGAAGACTGTCCTGTAGAAAAGTTAGGCGACAATACCGGAGGCTCAAACATGCCTCGATAAGGATATAAATCTGCTATATTGAAAATAGGACTAATATTTAAGTGCGTTGGCAACTCAAGTAGATAAGCATTAGTTCCAAGCCTTTTAATGATGGGGAAAGGCCTTAGTGACCTAGCACAAAGTTTCTTAGCAGCATGTTTAGGGAAACGTTCAGGTGCAAGCTGAACCATAACAAAGTCGCCCACGTTAAATTCTTTATGCCTACAATGGGATCAGCGAACAATTTATACTGATCATTGCTTAAAGAAATTTTACGTTTAATCTCGTCATGCAAGTCACGAATATGATCAGCAAAAGCTTGAGCAGAGGCGGCAGGACGAAAATCAGTAGGTAAAGGGATTAGATCAAGCGGCTGGCGAGGAGAGAAACCCTGAACCATCTCAAAGGGACTATGACCAGTAGATCTATTAACAAAATTGTTGTAAGCAAATTCCAGCGGTGGCTAACACAAGATCCCAATTCCCTGGTTTATCCCCAACTAAGCAGCGAAGTAGATTACCCAAACTATGGTTTACAACTTCAGTTTGCCCATTGGTTTGGGGGTGAAAGGTAGAAGAGAACTTAAGCGTCATTCCAAAGAGTTTCCATAGTGTCTTTCAAAAATAACTAACAAATTTGACATCACGATCTGACACAATACTAACCGAGAGGCCATGGAGACGAACAACCTCTTTGAAGAACAACTTTGCAATGGAAGACGCATCAGAAGACTTGGAACATGGGATGAAGTGTGCCATCTTAGAAAATCTATCGACCACCACAAAAATGGAATCATGACCTCGAGCTGTTTTAGGTAAACAAAGAACGAAGTCCATATTAAGGTCACGCCAAGGAGTATGAGGAACAGGAAGAGGAGTGTACATCCCAGTATTTTGACGTTGCGCCTTACCTAATTGACACGTACGACACTGAGAGACAATGCAAGTAACGTCTCTCTTGAGGGACGGCCAATAAAAATGATCCTCTAGTAAGGCGATTTTTTTATCCCGACCAAAATGACCAGCAAGACCCCCGGCATGTAGTTCCCAAACTAGGAAGTCACGAAGTGAAGTACGGGGGATACATAACTTGGTACCTTAGAAGAGATAACCATCTTTAAGCAAGAAGGAACATGGTTGCGAGAAGGATTGTCTAAAAGGTCCTAAAAGATGGTGCCAAAGTCAGGACAATTTGGATAATCGTCCTTCAAGCGCTCAAATCCCACCACAGTTGTGCTCATTGACAGAAGCACTGTGGTGATACGACTAAGAGCATCATCCACTTTATTTTCGACACCGGCCCGATGATGGAGAACAAAAGTGTACTCCTGAAGAAATTCAACCCACTTAACATGTCGCTCACTCAAATGGCGCTGGGAGTTAAGGAAACGAAGAGCCTGATGATCCGAGTAAGGAACAAACTCCTTGGGCAATAAGTAATATCGCCAATGACGGAGAGACTGGACAATAGCATAGAACTCCTTGTCATAGGTAGAATACCTTTGCCTAGCTTGACTTAAAACACCACCTACACCTACACCAGAAGCATCACAAGCAACTTTAAAAACCTTAGCAAAATCTGGGTGGCGTAACACAGGAGCTTCGATCAACTTCTGCTTGATGGCTAAGAAAGCTTTTTGGGCTGAAGAGGTCCAGCGAAATTCCCCCTTTTTCATACACTCAATGATGGGAGTAGTGAGGGAGCTAAAACCTTTAATGAATCTCCTATAGAAAGATGCAAGCCCATGAAATCTACGTATCTCAGTCAATGTGGAAGGGATAGGCCAATCCCGAATAACAGAGACTTTAGCAGGGTTAGCAGAAACACCATGTGCCGAAATAATGAACCCTAAGAAAAGGACTTGGGACTGGAGGAAAGAACACTTTTTGAGGTTAGCAAATAACTAAGCGGAGCGAAGAGTAAGGAAGACCTGACGAAGGTGATCTAAATGAGCTTCCTGTGATCGGCTATAAATCAAAATGTCATCAAAATAGACAACAAGGAACTCCCAATAAAAGGGCATAAGACATGAGTCATGACTTGTATGAAAGTGCTAGGAGTATTAGACAACCCAAAAGGCATAACTAACCATTCATACAAACCATCTGGGGTCTTAAACGCCGTTTTCCATTCATCTCTGGGTCGAATCCGTATTTGATGATAGCCACTACGTAGATCAATCTTGGAGAACCACAAAGAAACCCGCCAATTTATCCAACATATCCTCAAGTCATGGAATAGGGAAGCGGTACTTAATGGTGATTTTATTGATGGCACGACTATCAACACACATGCGCCACGAGCCCTCCTTCTTAGGGGTGAGTAAAACTGGAATTGCACTAGGGCTAAGACTAGGACGAATAAAGCCTTTATGGAGTAGAGATTCAATTTGCCGATTCAGTTCAGCTTGCTCAGTAGGGTTCATTCTATAATGGGGTCGATTTGGCAACTGGGAGCCAGGTACAAGATCAATGGCGTGTTGAATATCCTGCATAGAAGGGAGTTCATTAGGTAGGTCGAAAGGCAAAATATCATTAAACTCTTCGAGTAAAGGAGACACTTCGGGTGGGATGTCTATGGGAGAATCAGGAGAGGTTCGAGAACATGTCTTAGCAACCAAGGCAAACATAAGCCCAGTGTCTTGACCTTCACGTTCAAAATCTTTAAGGGACAATAGTTGAATACGACTGTCTGAAACACCCTTGGGCGTGGAGATAGAAGTCGTCTTCTTTGGGGGGTCTGAAGGCTTGGCCGGTAGAAAGAGAATAGTTTTGCCATCGTGGAGAAATTCATACGTGTTATCACGCCCGAAATGCCTAACATCACGATCATAAAGCCAAGCGCGACCCAAAAGGATGTGAGCAACGTCCATAGGTAAGACATCACAATAAATTTCCTCCGAAAAAAGGGGATCGAACGTAAGGGAGACGAGACAACGATGAGTGACAGGCAATGAGGTTCGATCCACCCATGCTACCTTAAACGGGCGAGGATGCGGTTCGGGTTTAAAGCCAAACTTGCCCACCACAGACTTAGAAACGACATTCATAGTGCTACCACCATCAATAACTAATTTGCATGAACGAGAGTTGCATGGAATAAATGTGTAGATAATGGAAGTACGCTTCCACGAATCAGAATCAATAGGGGTAGAAAGGATACATCGCATAACAGAGATAACAACATGATCCTCCTCATAACACTCAAATTGGTCAAGTTCCTCATCAGAATGGTCAATAGGGTCGATCGTGAAGCACTCATTCTCCGGGGTTGGAAGTAGGGGTTCCGGTGCAAGGGTGAGTGTACGATTGGGACATTGGGAGGCAATATGACCACGAGCATGATAGCTATGGCAAACAATTTGAGGGTTAGGACCTCAAATGGTGGCTGGAGCAGTAGGTGGACCCCTAGAAGGGTCGCGAGGAATAGGAACGGACGAAGACCCCACAGTGGAGCGGGTCTGGCTGAAAGTAGGGCTACTAGTAGGGGCACCAGGTAGAGGGGGTCGAGAAAGATGTGGGTCAGGTAAGGTCGAAAGGCCACGACGCGAATATAAAAAACGGGAATATCGCTCGTGTTCAAGGGCCTTGTGAAAAGCATCCTCTAACGAGTCGGGATTGAGGACAATGACTTGATGTTTAAGGTCTGGGCGTAGGCCATTAAGGAACCTAGTAATTGAGACATCCTCGGGTTCGGTAAGGTCAGAACGGTACCATAACTCGTCAAAATGAGTCCTATAGTCCGACACAGTAGAAGAGTTTTGCCGATGGTTAAGAAGACGTTCCAAGAGTTGAGATCGATGGTAAAAAAGGACGTACTTCTCAGTGAGTTTCAGTTTCATCTCTCCCCACGTAGTAATAGGCTGGCCCAAGCGATCGAGGGATTGTGTCACCATCTGCTAATAGCATTTAGCAGATTTAACAAGTTTCATCTTGGTGAAACGAATACGCTGATAATCAGGCATTTGGTACCAATCGAAGTATTCTTCGATGGCATCGTACCAATCTAGAAAGGCTTCGGGTTCCAAGCGACCATCAAATTTCAGGGCGTCCACTTTAACTTTCCTAGTAATGTCATCAATTGGATCCCTATGGTGCTCATAACGTGGATGTGGGAGATCAAGACGAGGAACAATATGGACAACGGGGTCACGGAGTTCCGAAAAAGGGATGTGTTGTGCAGGGCCAAGATTGTGCGGAGTAGGTAGTATGCCAACAGGGGTACGGGGAAAAGGCTCTTGGATGTTTTGACCAACGATAGAAGAATCGGATGAATCATCCACAGGATGTTTACCCGAGTTTCGAGAGGACTGCCTTGTTTGTTCAGTAAAATTATGGATAAGAGTTTTCAGTTCGGCAAGGTCCGATTTCACTAACGTCATATCAGATAGAAGGTTTGTGACTTGTTGTGACAAAGCATCATGAGATTGATTAAGGTCTTTAAGATTCATTATTAAGAATTGGAATATATGTTAAGAGGCGCAGCTAAAAATGATACTATCAATTTTAAGTAATATAATTATTGTTATTATGATTAAATGATATTGTCAATATGCGTGGAAGATAAAAAGTCACCTAGACTAAATGCAGATAAGAAGGCAAGGAATTAATAAAACTACTGAAATGCCAACACTCCAATAAAAGTAAAGTATTCAAAAGCAAACTTAAACCTTACCAAGGACAACGACGAACTAGGGGAATTGGCGTTTGACAATCAGGCAGTAGAATTCAGCAACCGGGAAAACCAGCGAAGAGGGGAGCAATATATGTGAATTCCGAGGGTAGCAGTGGGATGGATAGCAAAAATGTAGCAGCTAGCGACGATGATTGGAACCAAATTGATGCGTTGGCGGTGCACCCAATATTTCAGTCCCAGACTTCCAGCTCAATGAGTAGTCAATTGAAAACAAATATTTTCCTTATCCAATATCTCCAGTCGATAGTAGCTGGAGAACTCCATGAAGGTTGAAAGACAGCAACTTCTGGAGATTATAGTTTTTGCTTGTGGACGAAGGTTCGGGTTATTAGGCAGACAGTAACGCAGCAATTTTATGGACAGTAATGTATGTAATAAATAGGTATGTGTATGGGTTGTGTTGGATTGCAAATGACGGAGAAGAAGGTGATGAGATGGTGGTGTTTGGGAAGGTGTGCAGTCACTGGTGATGGGGGATGGAGCCGGTGCGGTGGAGTCGATGGTGATGGTGGGAGGAACTATTGCAAGGGCGATGATTCTGTTATTGGGACATGGAGCGGCGTGGGTACCTTGGTAGCTGTCGAATAGCGACGCTGGGGCTAGCGAGAGCTAGGGTAGCTGGTTTTGATAAAATTAGAATTGGGCTGATGGGTTATAGGTTTTGATGGAAATTGGGTTGGGTGAATGTATTGGGTTATATCTGGGCTGGGCTTATTGTTGGGCTATGAAGAGTATTTGAAGACTAGGCTTAGAAAAAAAGATTGGGCTAAAGTACTTTAATAGGATTTTAGGTTAGTAATGAAGAACAGCAATCAGCAGCACATCGTAAACGTGAACAGTAGCAGCAACGGTACTGACGAAGTGAACGCTACAATAATTTTTTTTTTTGTTCAGGGAAATCTAAACTGGATTTCGGGATGAACAGTGACCCGAACAGTACGGATGTGCGGTAAATTTTTTTTTTCGAACTACAAAAAAAATTTGGAAAACTACTGCTGCCTTGCTGCTCCTTATTATTGTGTGGTTAAAGGGCTTGTATGGTGGCGGAAGTTTGGAGTTTGAGGTGGACCAGGTGGTATATGGAATTGATGGAAACGGTTGGTGGACTTTTGGATTTGAAAACGAAGGATGTTAGGCCAAAGGAAAAACGAATAGCTCTGATACCAAATTGATGCCGACTGGGGTGACAAGAACAACAGGGAGAAAGAAGAAGGTAGGAAGAAAAGAGAATGAGGGAAGATAATAGATTTATTCAATACTCAAAACTGTCTATTACAATCCAAGAACCTTAATTTATAGGTTCCAAATAACAATAGAAATGTAAAGTTGCAATAAAAAGGAAAATCTAGAGTTTCCTTTTGTTTAAAATGAAACAAATTTATTATTCTACCAAAACAAGAAAAGCAATAATAAAAATCCAATCTTTAATTGATTTCAATTCCAATTACGCCGAGAATATACTTTCCAATTGGCATCATATTTATTCTTTCTTTCTTTTTTTTTTTCCTTTTCTGGAATTACCATCATTGATTTAATTATATGATGCTTTTCCCTTTTCGAAAAACCTGCTACCTATTCAAGATATAAGGTGTCTTTACTTTTTTTCACCGCTTCTTTGAGTTTCAAGGCATATGGCTTGAATAATATGCATTTTTTTCCCTTTTTTCCTGTAGCTTCAGACTGTTTCAAGTGAGGAGATGGGCTGCGAACTGCTTTATCTATATGTATACGAAAAATCTCGAGAATGTGAGAAGTATGTTGATTCAGTTTTTTAATGAAAATGTCCATGTGGTTTTGCATGATTAGAACATATACCAGCTTGAATGTGTAGGCCTCCTTATACTCAAATAAAAGATCTATAGACATTTGCATCGTGTATGAAAAAGTATGCTTGGATGCTGAAATGTTACATGCTTTTTGAAGACATCGCCATTGACACATTTGTCCATCCAATTGAGGGATGACGGAAATGAGAAGTCTGAAGGTGGCAGATTCCATGGACCCTAATTTTGCAAACTATCTGCACAATGATTGTCTATCAGCTATTCATGACAAAAAGGAGTCATCAGCCATCATGCTGAATAGGTGGTGTTATTATTTTCCAAGTTACACAACTTAGAAAATTGAAACAGCCTGCTTATTAGAAAAATAGGGAAAAAAAATTGACTAAAAAGATGAGGAAAAACATTAGTAGCAGGACTATTTCATATGGCATAACTATTTTATTTAGATGTCATACACCAACAACAACTCTATACCGTATTTTCCATGAATTTGAGGTTGAAGTAACCTCATCTCTATTTTCCTTTTTCTTAATATGATTACTTTAAAGTAATTCTCATTTACATTTTGAAGGCAAGCAGAGTTGGGAATTATATTATCAGAAATACTCAATCTTATTGCCTTAAAAAGTTACCGCAGACAACATTCCAATTTATACATAACAGAGGACATAGGGAAATGCATCAAAATAAATGTGGCTATTACATATCCAAGAAGACTCCTTAAATTACTCAATTAATTATTGAAATGCTAGTGATCATTAATTTGGTTTATTTTCCAACATTACCTCTCGTAAACCAAATTTGCTTTTCATTCCAGGCCTTGCAGATTGTTTCTTGAAGTCCTGACCTCCAACTGGTTTTGTAAATACATCTGAAACTTGATCTTCTATTTTTGCAGTATTTGACTTGAATTATTCCATCATGAACAAGCTCTCCCAAGAAGTGATACCTCATACGAATGTGTTTAGTCCTCCAATGTAGAACTGGTTCTTTGTAACAGAAATCGCTGAATTATTGTCACACAAAAAAGTTGTAGGAGCATCCTGCTTGTGGTTTTGATTCTCCAAAATTCCTTGGAACTATACAATTTGGCAGCCAGCAAAAGATGCCGCAATATATTCAGCTTCCGTTGTTGAAAGAGCAACAATTGGTTGTTTCTTGGAACTCCAAATTACTCCACTTCCAATGCTAAAGGCATAACCCGACGTCCTTTTACTATCATCTACGCTACCTGTAAGATCACTATCACTGTATCGAAAGGGTGTAGTTGGAACATTTGCTTGATAAAAAATGCAATAATCAATTGTCCCCTTCACATATCGTAAAAATTTTTTGCAGCTTCCCAATGTTACGAATATGGTGCTTCCATGAACCTACTTATTAAACTCACTGCAATCATAATATCAGGCCTTGTGGCTGTGAGGTACATCAGATTTCCCAATAAAATCATGAACATGGTGGTATTAACAAGTTTTCCTTCTCCTTCTCTTCGGAGTTTCTGGCCTAAAATGCACAGAGTTGAAACAGGATTTGCAAATTCCATCTCAAACTTTTTCAGAATCTCTCTAGCATATTGCTCTTGAGTGATAAAAAAAAAAAAAAAAAAAAAAAAAAAAAATCTCCACCTTCTGATTGGTGTAGTTCAATACCCAAAAAATGATGTAATTTTCCCAAATCAGTCATAGCTAACTCTTTCATCATCAAGTGTCTAAAATTATCCAACATAGCCAGATTATTTCAAGTGAAGAAAAGATCATCAACATAAAGACTCAATATAATGAAACTTCCATCAGAGCCATTTTTGATATAGAGAGTATGTCCATGTGGACCTCTATGAAAATCATTTGCTTCAAAAAATGCATTGATTATACTATACCAAGCCCTTGGTGACTGTTTTAAATCGTATGAGGCCTTTTTCCACTTGTAAACTTTGTGCTCTTCTCCCTTCTTCACAAAACCAGGTGGTTGTTTGACATAAATCTCTTTTTTGATGAAACCATTTAAAAACGCAGATTTAACATCCATTGGCAAGAGCTTCCAGTTATTTTAAGCGGCTAGAGAAATCATAAGTTGAATAGTGTCAAGTCTAGAGGCTGGGGCGAATACCGCTTTGTAGCCTTCTCCTTTTTCTTTGCACATACTCCTTTTCTACAAGCCAAGCCTTGTGTTTGCTGACTGAACTGTCAGGATTGAGTTTAGTTTTGAACACCCACTTTACTCATATAGGCTTTTTGTTTGGTGGTGGATTTTTGAGCTCCCACATATTGTTCTTTTCAATGGCCTCAATTTCTTCATTCATGGCCTTTCTCCATTTTTCTTCTTTTATCGCTGTATCATATAAAATTGGATCCTTGCCTGAAAAATACAAACAAAATAGCACCTTCTTCATGAGTAGGATATGCAAACTCATAGAATT